AAGTTAATCTAGTATTCATTATTAATAATCATTAGAAAGGTCAGGAGATCATTTAGTCCTTGACAATTTCTTTTTATCTGGATAATCCCCTTAGTTTTCGCATATACAATTCTTGATTGTTTGTTGCAAGTATTGGTGGTTAGAGATATTATTCTTACTTTATGGACAAGTTTTTTCTTGTTGGGTATTCATCTAAGCAGCTTTATTTGATGCAATTTTTTCAGTTCATTTGGCCAAAATCTACAAACAAGTTCATATATCTGGGAGAACTGCTTTGCTCTGTTCATTACAATCTCTGGCTTGGTGTTATTCTTATTTCTTATCGGAAATGTGCAGGTTGATTTCATACATTCTACTTGTAGCTTAGTTGAATATTTGAGTTCACATTGAAAAAAACTTAAGACACAGTTCACCACTTCACCTTCAGTTCAGTCATCGTGCATAGACCATTTTAATGCACTAGTCTGCCGATACTGCTGGAAGTATGCTGTCATTGATATCCCCTTTCATTTAATGCATCATTCATCCCTAATGGAGTAGTGGTGCTTTCAGTATCCACTTGATACAATGGGATTGTGCTCTACTCAACTATGGGGTTTTGAATCCTTTTTCTACAATATGTCTGAAAGCTGCCAAATCTGCAGTTCCTGCCTGAACTCATTGGATCTTCAATCTACCTCTAATTCTCCATTCAATGTTCATGATTAAACCATCTATGCAGCATCCGGTTAATTTTTCCTCATAATTGTCCCCGTTACATTCTTATGGATAAGTATAACTTCGTTTCTTATTCTATATTTCCTGTTTGACAATAGTTCTGTCAAAACATTTTTATTGCTGTTGCATTCATTTCATAGTTACCTTTCTACCTTTTCACTCGATAGGTTAATAATATTTGTTAACTTTTCACTTGATAGGTTATGTGTTTTCTTAAAGGTTCTTATCTTTATACCCACTAAGTTTGCCTAAGCTACCAATTTTGGTCCAACTTTCGTAAGGCTTCTCTGATATTTATGTACTTCAAGTTCAAGATTTGGTGAACTTTTGCTTTCTGTGAAACAGATTTATCTTCAGACTAAAACAATGAAATTAGAGGAGATGCGTTTGGCAACTCGAGAAATAAAGGAATGGAAACCCTTCAAAAAGCTTTCTAATGCACTCCAGGGGGAAGTAAATGAATATCAGCGCTATATATGGCAACAAACCAAAGGTGTTGATGTAGAGAAGCTGCTACAAAATCTTCCCAAGGAGTTGACGACAAAAATCAAGAGAGAGCTCTGTTTTGATATGCTCAACAATGTAAGTTCCTTTTGTCTGAGCAATAATTTTTGCCAAGCATTATAGTTATTAATTAATCTTATGATCTTAATCTCTAATTGTTTGCATATATTAAGGTGGAGCCATTTAGATCCAAGGGAGAAAAATGGTTGGATTCCCTGTGTTACTGTGTGAAACCAGTACTATTCATCGAGCGCAATCACCTAATTAAGGAAGGAGACATCATTAATGAAATGGTATTTATTGTGCAAGGTGAACTGCAAGTCTACAGCAAAAACAGTAACGATATAGGCCCTCTACAAGGAAATTTTTGCGGAGAGGAACTTGTAGAATGGGTTCAGGATTCCCACTCAGCGCACCTTCCTGTCTCCACCAAGACTATTCAGGCCCTTACTAAAGTGGAAGCCTTCACTCTACAGGCTGATGACTTGAAACGTCACTGGGCAGCTGCATTTCTTCAATCAGTCTGGCGCAGGCGCAGTCGTCAAGATAGTCGAACGGTTCAAAGAAGCTCTCATGGAGAGAGTAAGTGGAGACATACAGTCTAGCCGGAAGATAGTAAGTGGCCCATCAGATGGTTTGACACCATATTGTAACCAAAAAAACTAATTCAATAGTTACATAAGTCTTTACATATTTAAGTCATTATTTCTTTTCACATTTCCTCAATGTGAGACTTTAATTCTTCATATTTACAAGGAAACAACATATTTACACTTCTACTCCCCTTTGACATGTGAGTTGTGAATCACTCCCTTTTGTGACGGTTCAATTTTTTTTTTTTTTGACATACATACATGATTCATTTGAGACATACATGGTCTATATACATAAATTCATCATGGGCGCAACATCATCCATGAGTATACTCGTTATGGGTTTACATAATATGTACTCTCACTTTACTAAGCCCGGTCTAAGATCGAAATGCCCATTGGTTGTGCTACGCCATTGGCTCTAATGTCACTTGTCGAGGGTAACAAATGGCCTAGTGGAGACATTGAATAGTTCATCATATATTACGACACCATATTGTAATTAAAAGACTAGTTCAACTCTTTCCTTTCATGTTTTTTCGATTTGGGATCTTTGTTCTTCACACTCACAAAAGAAAAGACATATGGCCTAATTGGAAAACATTGAACAGTTTATCATATGTTTCAATATCATATTGTAACTAAAAAACTAATTCAGTAGTTACATGAGTCTTTATATATTTAAATCACTTTTTCCTTTCATATTTCTTTGGTTTAGGATCTTTGTTCTTCACATTCACAAGGAAACATACTTTAATACTCTCCCCTCACAAGGGAAACATACTTCAACACATCAACACTCTCCCTTTTTTTAATTGTGGGTTGTGATCACTCCCCTTTTTGCGAGAGTTCATTTTTCCTCGTAACTAGAAGCTCTCATGGAGGGAGCAACCAGATTCATTCACAGCATGTAACAGTAAGCTCCCATGGAGAGGGTAAGCAGTTGGTTTGCAATCTGTAAAAGATAAAGCAGTTGAGAACTTATCAGGTTCTGGTAGTAGAATCAACAAGGCCTCAAGTTTGAATACTAAAGAGTCTGGTACCTCACAACTTGCGGCTTCACGCTTCCCCGGACAAATCACCAGACTTGTGGGAAGCCCAATCTATCATTCCTGAGGAACAATAGACTAGTGAATTTTGTGGTGTTTTAGATAGCCAGTTGGATGTACAAAGTTTGTGTATTGTGAAAGTGAACCGTGGAAGTGCTGTAGTTGTTGAGGTCAAACATGGCATGAAGTAAGCCTTCTCAACGGGAGCTACGCAGCTTCTTTGAGGTGATAGGGAGGACTTAGCGGCCACAATTTTTGCGAAGGTGTTTTAAGTACTGTTTGATTGGAGCCAATGAGCAAAGGTACAATAACCAACCCCAGGAGTGATTTCCTTAAATATGAAATAAATGATCTTGGTTTTAGAGGAAAGCTCATAAAGTAATTAGTAAAAGTATTAGTAAACAACACTTTCTCACTCATTCACACCCTCGTTCTTTCTTCCCAGCCCTCTTTCTTTCTCTTATAAAAATTTTATTTAGTTAACTTATTTCATTAAAAAAAATTTCTTAATTTTAAATTGTATAACATAGGACAAGAGAAAGTTGCCTCTAACCCAAAATAAAAATAATAAGAATAACTCGCGATCACAAACAGCAGGTCAATACTATGGGTCGAGCGGCCATCCCACTTCAAACAAGGAACACGGATTTGATTAAAGCTTTTGTTTACCTTATTTTTCCAGTTTTCTCCATCACCAAGTGCAGAGCATCACTTTATGACTCCAAACACATTCCAACATATAATAAGCAGATAATAACATGTCTTCAGCTGATTAATTGTTGGGAGAAACTGTAATTAATGCTAGATTATAGCTCATCGCTAGAGTCTAGCACCTAGAGTTAATCATCTACAGTCTATCAATGTATGCCAGCAATCAAAGAAAAATAGTAGTTGCTAAATTGGCTAGGAGACGCAAATTCCTCCTGCTGGGGTTGCAGAATCGCAAGGTAACCTCACCTCCCTCTTCAGAAATGTTGGCAACGCAAAAGCAGCTTTGTGCATCTATCAATAGAACACAACAAAAAGGTTGTCACAGTTCCACCACAAGAATTTGCAAGGCCACAAACTTGTAATATTTATTTAAATTTCATATGATTATGGATAACTGCATAGCAAAATGGGCATCTACAGCACCAATTAGTATCACTGCAAGATTTTGTAAACAATAACCAAAAACAGAAACTGGCAACTGATTTCCACTGCAGGCACAAACACAATTTTAAGAATTCTTGATCAAATAAAAATAAAGATGTTAAACAATGCAACAAAGCCACACATCAGCATACATCAACTTCAGAGCATAAAGACACATTCCTCTTTTTTAGTAAATCCTGAATGGACATTCAGCAAATAATTATGGTTCCAATCAAGCATTTAAGAGTAGTATCAAAAAATAAGTTGCCCGTAGAAGAAGAATGAAAACTAAAAGAAATGAGCACTTACCTCAGAGTTATAAAACCTAAGTTCTCTTTTGTGCTTTATAGCTCCTTCTAGTTTCTCAATAGGATTGATGGGATTCACAAAATCAACAGGTGGCCCCGCTGTGGAGCATATCAGGAAACCAATGACTCCACTGCATGCCAAATGAAAAAGTGAAAAATAAAAGACTGAAAAAGAAAAACTGTTAAGTATACAAGGCCAATAAAAGAAACACTACAAGTATTGTCCAGAAAAGAAAAAGTCCAAAGCAAATAATTAATTTTAATTCGACATCATCACAAGCCTTTATTATTAAAAGGAAATAGAAACATCATGATGGGATAATTACCTTGGATATGTTGGAACACTTGCCCATGCATAGTGGATAGAACCTTTGAATGTTTCATGGCATATGGTGATCATATCTTGTATTAGATGAGTATGAAGCCACATGCTTTCAGCCATATTACAAAGGACACCACCAGGCCTTAGGGCTCTAGCTATGGTATCAAAAAATGGTTTCTCTACAAGCTCTTGAGCTGGACCTAAATCTCAAACAGAAGCTCAATAAGTGAATTTAAAAGCTCTTTAAGCCATTAGCCATGAATACTTAAAATGGGAAAAAAAGAAAACGCAGCAGATGTCATGGTTTTTATTATTCCCAGCATTCTTAAATATTAAATAGTAAGTAGATCCATGACATTACTTCGGATGAAGAACAACATTCAATCATATGCATACCTCCATGGTTCAAATCTTATTTTGGTTGAAGTATTAAATGTTTGACATTCTATATTAGAGGACTGGATATTTTAACATACCTACAGGGTCTGATGAATCAACAATAATTGCATCATACTTCCCTTCTGGAACTTGCCGCAGAAATTCAACAGCTGTAAACATCAAAGATTAGTAAGGTTATGGGACCGCATGCCTGATCATTCAAAAGAAATTTGCACATAAAAAATTGAATATTAAAACATCAAGAGATATGTTCCCTAAACATACCATCACCAACATGTAGCTGGACACGAGGGTCGTCAAATCCAACTGATAGCTCAGGGAAAAATTTTTTACATACCTAGAATAAAAGAAAAGGTTAAGAACAGTACTCACACCCATGCAGGCATGGATGAACCAAGAAATAAAGAAGGTAGAGAAGGTGCATAGAACTACCACATACATCTATAACCATCTGATCTATTTCACAAATTTCAATTTGCTCCACAGAGCTGTGGCGAGAAATTTCCCTAAGAACACCACCATCACCACCTCCAACAACCAGAACCTGCATCACATAATTCACTAAACACTACCATTAACAAAAGCCCTGAAAAAATAATGCCATTGTACAAGCTTCAACACAGTCGACCAGTTACCAAGATAAACCAAATTAGAAATGCAGTTAAACACAAGCTCTATCAACAGATCTCTGGCATTAAGGAACAAAGCTAATCTTATAGATCTGCTTGCAGTTTTCCACATCTATACATGTATTTCTTATAATTAGGTCTTCCATCAAGTCTCTTAATATCCTAAGTTTTCACATCTATACAGTGTAATTTCATACAAAAGTCTTTCTAGAGTCTCCTAATATCCTAAGTTTGGGTAAGAAGAACCATTACACTGTTGAAGCCAAATTTAACAGCAATATAAGATCCAGTCAGCAAAAATGTTGAATTGCCATTCATCAGTTGATGCATGTTAAACCAGTTAAATAGCCTTCAAGACATATTTAACAAATTTTTATATTACAAGTCAGACCATTCAACTTTGGCTTTCCTTCTGTTTTCCTCTTATCATAGCAATGTCAGTTCCTCCACAATTTTTAAATTAACAGTTTTGTCATGATATACAGGAAAGCAAAAGAAAAAAGGAGTAATTCTATTAAGCTTTCTTCTCAAGAACTTCTCAAATGCTTCTGATGAAAATTACAATATCTGACAAAGATACTTACATATTATAGAAACCGTATTTCCAAACATATGTAAATAAAGTATTAAGTAATGGTATGGTGAAAAACAATAATTGAATAGGAATTGATTGTGTGTACATTTTTGGGAGATGGAATTGAACAAAGTGGAAGATGAGCTATCATCTCCTGATAGGCACATTCATCTTTCTCTGTCAACTGAACTATACCATCAAGAACAAGCACTTTCCCATAAGTCGAAGACTGCATAAAGTAATTTATATCAATCAAATCACATATGATTTATATATGACACTCTTAGAAGTGTACAGATAGAGTATACTAGGAAAAGTGGAAAACTAAATGCAGAGATGAGAACTTCAAACCTCAAAAACAAGTATCTCTTGGTACTTTGATTTGTCCTTAAATAAAATGTTTTCAACTTTCAGAGAATGGGCTTCTCCTACAATGAAAAGTCAAATAACCAAGCTAATTACTTTTCAATGCACTAATCCACAGCTCTCATTATTTCATATTAATATTGAACAGTCATCAGGTCCACTAGCAAATGGTACCGTATCAGAGTATCCTTTGCCTCATCCACATAGTGAAAAGGATAATGCCAGATCTCATATTTATTCTCAGAAGATCTAAAATGTTTCTATTCTCTCTCTTTTTTCTTTTTTCCCTTTTTTTTTTTTTCAAAAAAACAAATCTGTGAGGATAATTGTGGTCTGACTGGCATTCATGAGACTCTCTCAAGAATTTCAGCCATATACTTTACAAGGTGAAATGTGATATTCTGCAATAGTTGAATGTATGAGATTTAGGCTTACCAGGCCACATAGGGTTGTTGAAGTAAATTCTCTTGCTAGCAGCATCTATGGCAGACAAACACAACACAAGCAAACAAGATGTGATCAACAACATTACCCTAAAAAATCATGTACTAAATAATTATGTTGCAATCATAAAGAATAAAAAAAAGAAAAGAAAAGGAAAGAAACAAATATAAGATAATGACCAGAGGAAGACTGAGATTCTGAGAACCACCCAGAAACAACAGTAGAATGGCATTTTGCCTCAAGCTCAGGTGCGGAAGCCCTGGCCTTCAAGCAACAAGAAGGAATAGCCTTCTTGGAACCATTCCTGTTACTCGCCTTCCCATCCATAATCTTCTGGCATTCCAAATCTCTTCCTGCGCCGTCCCCCATAAATTATCCTTTTCTTCTCCAGCTCCAGTCTCTACATGAAAACAAGCACACTCATAAGAACATTCAGATAAGAGAGAAGCTTTAACCATGACTACAATAAAATTTTCCTTTTTCCAAAAAAATTTTTATAAACAGATAGACCATGCATAGTTTGCTTCAAGTTCACACATTCACTTCTTCCCATAAACTAATATTCAACAAAATCCTATAATGGTCTAGGGCAAGGCAAAAGGTTAAAAGAACCCGGGAAGTACAACACTTTGATGTTAAAAAAGCAGAAGATTCTCCTTTGATGGGTTTTTGCAGACTGTTCATTATAAAGTTCCAATTCCAATAACAAAATTATTTTGAACCTAAAAAGATGATAACCAACAGGAAGGCAAGAATACAAATCAAACACACCAGAAAGAAAGAAAGAGGAGCATCAAAACACTGAATTCCTAGCATTCAAGAGGTCTATTTATAATTCAATTCTTGAAAGTTGAACCCTTTGGGAAAGAAAACAATACGGAACCATTAATGCATGACAATATTTCTTATTACAAAGGAAATAATTCAGGAAACAAATTGATAGACTAATTTAATAAAAGAAGATTCAGAAATCGAATAAAAAAAGGAAATCAGTAGGATACACGCCACAAGCCCTAATCAGTAGAAATTAAAACTTCTTCGGCAAAAACCAACAATACCCAGAACAAATTCGGGAACCAAAATCCAAAAGCAGTAAACCCAACCAAAAAAAAAATTCAAAATTTCTGCAAAAACTGCTATTTCTAAAAATTACAAAAGTCAAAAATTTCAAGCCATTAGTACGACTATAGCAGAAAATACAAAGGAAAAATAAAAATAAAACGAATTTGCCCGAGCTTACGTAACAAAACGAAATTCCAAAAATCTGTTTGGTTCCTGAGAAACTCAAGGTTAACAATAATTACACAGATCGTTGAAGCATTACACCGCGATAATTTGTTTCAGTAACGAGAACTGACATGCCGGGGGAAATTTTCTGGGGAAAGTTAGGGTTTTACGAAAAGATAATATAAAAAAACACGGAGAAGTCCCGATTCTGACAGCAAACACGTTATCGAGTCTCCACCTCGAAAAGATTCGGCAAGGGATTACAATGGCGTCAGAAACTTCCAGAACGGTAGAGAATATTATACAGAAAATAAAGAGAAAAGGGAACAGAAAAAAAAGAAGAAGCAAGAAATAAAAGATAGAGATTGGGAAAGGGAAAGGGGAAAGGAAGATCTTGCCTGGTAGTAATGGAGGATGAGTCGGAAGTTATCCGGAGAGAGCGACAGCGAAGGGAGATGAGAACAGAGAGAGCGGGAAAGAGGAAATAAATAAATGAGGAGAAAATTGATTTTTAACCTTTTTGAGCTTCTTTCTTTATCGTCATCCGACGGTGAGAAGTGTGTTTGTGCCTGTGTGGATGGGCGGTTTATAATAATTGTTGTAAAATTACCCGGAGAAAAGGATAGCAAAATCTAAAGTGGTTCAATGTTTCGATGGCATTTCCTTTTAATTAAAAAAAAAAAGGTGGTGTGGGAGTGGATTGGGGAATAAAAATATTTTTTTTTGTTGTATAGTTGAAGATGAAAAAATAAAAAGTAAAAAAGTTAAGAGTTTTTTTTTTTTTTTGATGGGGATGAGATGCTTGATTTGATATATTTATGTAAATGTCATAAAATAAATAATAAAATTTGAATGTTTAAAAATCATAATTTTTTACATATAGTTTATTTAAAAGAACATTTAAGAGTCAGACTTGAGTATCATGGTCTATGGTTATAATTGATTTGTAAGATGCACTTTTAATTCAAAGGTTAAAATTTGAATATTTTAATCCTTAAATTATAAATCTGTTTAAAAATATATATATATATATATATTACATATAGTTTATTTAAAAGAACATTTAAGAGTCAGACTTGAGTATCATGGTCTATGGTTATAATTGATTTGTAAGATGCACTTTTAATTATATATATATTTATAAGTCAACAAAAACGTTTATAATGTTTGTTGGGGGACATTTTAGTGATTGATAGCTTGAATTTGGAATGTTCATGGTATGAATTGAATTGAAATTTAATATTTTTAAAATTAAATTAATTTAATTAATTATTAAAATTTTTAAACCAATTCAATCTATCATTATATTATAATTAAATCAATTCAATTTAGATTGAATTAGTGTGATTTAGTCATATTAATCAATTTTTTAACACTACTTAAAATATATTTGATTAATTAAAAATTTTGAATATCAAATTATAGAAATCACAATTATAAAACATATTAATATAATACATAACAAAATGATAATACAAATAAAGCAATGACGACATGTAAGCCCAAATTATTGTCATTTAAAAGAGTAGAGAGTTTTAAGAGTAGAGTCTTTGTTATGTAACAAATAATTTAGAAGTGCACTATTTTTAAATTAAGTTAATTAAATTATATTTTATAATTATAGAATAATTTACAATTATAGAATAAAAATAAATAAAGAAAGAATAAGCAATACAATTAATATTATAGTTTAACAATTAAAAAATAT